TATTTATATATTTCCGCATACATAAATATATATATTTACTTATATACTTACTTACTTATTAAAAATATATAAAATTAAAATCAGACTTAATCATAAATTACATTTTAATGATAAAGCCAAGTTAATTAGTATACTTAAAGTTTTTAAGTTCAGTTGTACGAGGGCTGCCTTTTAAGTCTTGCGTCTAAAAATGAAAAGACAGTGATTGTTCAGTAGAAATAGTTTTATTGTTTTTCGAAGTATTCTCCATGATAATCAACAAATTTTTACATTCGATTGAACCAATTTTCGAAACAGTTTTGCCAGGGTCTTGAACGTATATTTAATGAGGCATATAAGACTTTTACACCCAGACCATTTTCCAGTACATTAAACTTTTTACAGATTAATCATGGACTTCTTAACTGGACACTACTAATGTCAGTTCATATTAATTACCATCACTAAAATTTAGAACTAAAGAATACTGACACTTGTAGATAATGTAAAATACAAAGTGAACCATCTTCTCATCTTTTTTGTGTGTACCCTGCGTTTGTAGAAAATAAATCCAGTGCTACCATTTTTCTTGAACTGAAAAAATTTGGACCCTTGAACTAATCAGATTATTTGGTTAATCAGTGATTTTAATGTCTCCAGTTTAGTTATAAAGACATTTTCTAGGAAAGCAAAAGAGATTTAAAGAGTAACAGTACTGTACATGAATCAAAATGATAATCGGAATCAAATAAAGATTACATTGCGTATTCAATACGAGTATATGACATGATTTATATCAATATGTTTATGTGCTGATATAATATATATATATAAAGGTATATATGTTATATATAACAAAAATTTTTTATTAAAAAGTTTTACGTAGTCAAAAATAATTGATCACATAATGACTACAAAGAGAGTAAATAAAAAATGCAACAAAAGCAAATCTACTTCATTCAATAAACCACAACTAAAGTAGCTTCAAAACCATAAGAGCTTAAATATCATCAAAACATAAACGAACAAAGTAGATCCTTCCATGAGCAGAACATATGGGGAAAAAACATTTGGTGATGATGATACCAACATGATTTTGTCTACAAGCTGTTGTTTCTCACGTTTATTTGAACATAGGATGTACATTATAATATGTGTATACATAAATTTTTTCTTCATCATTCCCATCATTTCCATCACTTCCATCATTCTCATCACTGAGACCGATAGTCTACGTCTACGTCATTGTCATAATCATAGTTTATTTGATGATTAACATTAAATTCTGTTCGGTATTGTTTACAAAACTTACGTGAGGTTTTCATGCGTAAATATTCAAAATCATCATAAGACAGGACATTTTCCATCATAAAATATTCTGATAGAGTATAGGTGATATACATTAAATTCTTCTTTATTTTGTTTTTGTTTTCGTTGCCCTCTGCATAAATTTTTTTTCATAAGTTTGTGTCCTACAAATTTTTATATCTCATTTGAATATCCTTATGGCTTCAGAGCATATTTTATGCTGCGTTGTCATTTGTTATAATTTTTCAGTGTAAAATTTTCGTCCTGCATGCTTGAACGCATACAAAGATTATAATGATTTTTAGAATAGAAAACGGTTTTCTGGCTTCAAAGTGAGGTTTTTCCCGATGAGAGAGAAAAAATTGTATGCAAGAAGTATCTAAAATTTTCATTTTAAATAAATTATCAAAAGCAAGGGAATGAATGGTCATAAAGCACCATATTAATAGCTTTGAGGATCATTAATTACTGTTTGTTGATATACGGTTATCCTTCAAATACAACTAGAGAAATTTTTTGGTTGTGGTTACTTTGTTCTGATACGATTAGAATTTAAGAGCGCTTTTGTGACAAGCAAGGTTGTAACTTCTCGAGGTCCATGAATGTTGTTGTTAACCAGTTTGTAGTACCGAAAGTTTATAATTGATATCGAATATATATTTATAATATTATTAATACTATTGGGCAATATATATGATATATGATCAAGTTGAAAGTATATTCACTACTCTATCCAAAGCATTAAGTTCAGTCTATAGTTATTATCAATGTTCAATGACTAATACAGAGAAACTGTCTTTAAAATAAGAACAATTCTTTAAGAATAATGATGTCAATATATTGAACTGAAACATGTTTCTTTGCTATATGAATAATAATAAAAAATAATCAGTTCTTAAAAATATTTTTTAATACCAGAATAAAAACCCTTTTGCAATTGTAGGTAATTTAAATTATTTATTTCAAAATAGCAATGCCAGGATTATATTTATCGGCCCCTAAAATATTTTATTTTCAATGAAGATTTGTAAATCAGATCGTAGTTTATAAATAATGATCATACGTAGACGTCGTTATATTTAAAAACTATCTATCTACTTTCGTACTCTATTAATTAGTATTGGATTCTATAAATAATTTTATTACTATTAATTTTTACTATATTTACTTCTTTCCACATTCTACATACTATTGGCACAGATGTTGATGACTGCATAAGATGATGCATCATTTTGGGTTCAAGTCTTCCCTACTATTCTCTTCAATTAATAAGAATTGAGGTTTTGTCGTTTACTTGCCAATATCTTGTTCTGGCATAACGCTGTAGAGATCTACATCACAATGCACTGGCGTCACTTTTCAGTACTTTATTTGGTTTAAATTATATTTAGAAATATAATTATATGAGTATTTCTCCTCTCAGTACAAAATAAAACTCTAGAAATTTAAATTTAAGGAGTAATAATTTCTTTATTATTAAACTATTTATTTTCACCATATAAAATTTTAGGAACTGTTTTTCTAATGAATATTCGTTTGATGAAGAAAAAGTGCTTCTATAAAGCAACCATTATAGAATATGGGATGTGTGAATAACAAGTAATTTTAAATCAGAATTTCTGATTCTTAGAGGAATATTAGAAGAATATTGATTTGATTCATGCATGCATGTGTGGTATGTAAGAACTGAATAAATCAGGTTTCTTATTTTTTAGAAGATCATTAGATTATATTAGATTTTCAATCTTTATTTTTTTATATACTTCTGTTTACAACTGAATCTCTACAATATTTCTCTATATAGATATATATAGATATAAATATTATATATATATATAATATATATAATGAACCTCTATGTGTTCATTTTATTTTGAACATAATGTGTCTATATCTTCATTAAAATGAAATATATAATTATTGAAAAGACGACGTTAAAATATGATGGCTTATGAAATGTTGCCTATAGAAAATTAGTCTTAATCGGGATTGCATTTAAAAGCTTAACTTTATAAATGATAGGTATATGATTTTATGACATTTGTGCTTTCAATATAACTCAGCAAAGGTTTGAATAACAGAATATCTCCACGAATAAGACTATTTTTTTATTTAAATTTAATATAAACATTAATATTGATACTACTTTATGATTTTCTTATTTACTTTCTCATCAAAGTATAGAAAAATTACTTATAGAAATACATAACAAAATTTCTTCTTAAAAGCACTTGCAGTAGGAAAGCAAATCGTATTTGATTCGTAGAGGCATTGCTTCAATATATACGACCAGAAAAATTAAATAAAACTATTCGACTTGTTGTTCCCATCTTCTAACTTGTGGAATTATATATGATATATATGTGTACCTTATGATATATCGTCAATTATTTTTAAATTTAAAATCACTTTTATACCTATTAATCCAATTTCTATTTTAAAATCGTGATTAAGATAGGTTTCTTAATAAAAACCAAGAGCAATAATAGAAAGGAAGTGATTCTTCGCGAACATATATTACGAATTAGAATTAGTGCATCTCTGGTAATAAAGTCAAGAGATAGAAATAAGATTAATAAATAGTGTTGTAAGTTGCAAAAACAGATTGTCTTATAGTCTCAACATTATATATATAATGTATATATTTTATTATTTATACCATATTTCAGAAAATCATTATAAACTGGTGATCGTTTTTGGATTACATAGTTTTCGAAATGAAATTGTAAATAAAATTTAAAAATTTTTTATAGATATATAGATATCTATTTATCTAAATTCGTCAATGATATGCTACATTATATTTGTAGTAAACTTCTAGTTAGAAAAGTACATTGAATCTACTTCTCTTTGCTTGATGAAATCCGAGTCTAAAACACTTTTACTAAATAGTGTCTGTGATCACTTGGGTGATCTACTAAAACAAGTGTGGCATTTATATATGATAAGTTTTTTGGAAGTAAGTATTAGTGTTGCTGAAAAAGCTACGCTTTCTTTATATGGTGACAAAGAAGCTATATTCAAATTTAGAGGGTTTTCGAATAGCAAAGAAAAGACGTGCACAAAAATTTATTTTAATTTTATTGAAATTTTGGCAGACCATTCAACGCTGTTTCAAATTTTGCCAAATACTCATCATCAGTGGTCTTAGGAAATACTCGAATTTTTAATTAGTTTATAGTCCGTTTATAATTTGTTTGGACTCCAAGTGCCAGGCTTAGAACTTGTGCCTGTCAAATTAGAAGCGATGGCTAATCGTATTTATCCACAAGTAGCCAAGATTGCCCAAACTTTCAGTACTCTAGTTTCTCCAGGTTTTAAAGTTTTTTTTGATAATAAAAGTATACCCGCGCATGTGATCCTAATACTCCATTGCTAAAATATATAATAAATTTCTCATATTTAAAGGTTATTTACACTCTCAACATTTATTTAAACATAAATTTCATAATATACACAATTACAGATTTCATATAAATAATTTCTAACTAGAAATTGTAAAAATTTCAAACTAACGTCATCAATATAATAATTTTTTTTCTTAAGTGAAATAATAAAATCTTACTCATTGTCTTCCTTATTTCTAAAGTTTGTTTTGCTTTATAAACTAAAAAGGATACTGAATAAATAAATTAAATATATTCATATATACATAAATAAATTTTCCATTTTTTCAATAAAATTGTTTAAAAATGTAAGCGTCATCAACAGTTTTTTGTTTGGTTTATAGTGGTACCCTGTACCCTTCATCCCGTATACATATCAATATGTGCCTCAAATTATAACTGAACCACCATCAGATTTTGGAGTATGCGCCTCCCACCAATCTATCGCCTCAATCATACTCTCATCCGAGAGTGCAGTAGTCGCCACTGAAGTGTCCAACAGAACGTCGTTAAGTTCTTTTTTGAATGTGACAACACCTTCATAGAAAGAACCGTTCCGATCCTGTTCGAAGAATGATTGCAGTCCTGTGGTGGCTGCAAGTGTTCCCGAGTTCGTTGCATTACAGCGATCCAGCGGCGGTGACATTGAAATCGTTGTGTGATTAAGTAATAATTGTTGTTGTTCATTGCTTGAGGCTGGGTACATTTGTGCGGATGTTGGAGAGCTGGAAGAAGGGGAGGGAGTTGAGGACACATATTCTGTTTCAATATATTCTTGCTTTATAATGTGTGGCTTTAAATGCATTTGAAGTTGTTGCTGACGCTGCTGCTGCTGCTGTTGTTGTTGGTGTTGTTGTTGTGGGGCAGTTGGTGCCATAAACTGAGTATCTTCCCCTAAATGATTGGTGGCACACGTCTGCAATAAGACTTCATTAGCGGCAGGTGATAGCGTTGTCGCTGTGTGTTGTGCTATCGTTGAGTTCGCTGTTGTTGTTGTGGTTATTGTTGGTTGTTGTTGATGATGTAATGATGAACTTGCAAGGGGGGATAACATTTGTGGCACGGGCGATTGCGATAATGATGACGTCGCTAAATTTACACATTCACCGTTTGTTTTTTGAGTAATGCGTGTTGCAGGAGTCCTTGTTGTTGTTAAAGGTGCAGTTTTCATTGATACTGGAGGACACTGTACAGCAGGTGCTGTTGTAGCTGTTGTTGCGATAATTGATGTTGACGCAGCATGTAGCTCAGTGTTATTAGCTGCTGTTATTGCAGGACTTAAGCAATTAGTGTCAATTATGCCATTATATTGATCATCGCTTATATTTGAGGTTGGCGGAGAATTTGAATTACTAATGAAAATATCGGGGGTGAGCAGCTGATACGTATTTGTTCCAGGTATTCTAATGTATTGCATACCATTCAGTGTTGTGATATTTGGTAACATATCAATTTGGTTGAATTCATTGGAATTTTCGGTGAAATTGTTGTCAATATTTGAATTACTAATACAATTATTGTGCAATGCTTGTGGTGAAAAATACTCTTCCACATCATAGTTGTTTAAAGAGTCTTCGTATGCTTCGTCTATAGGAGGCGAAAATGGGTCGAATTCATCTTTGATTAAGGTGAAGCTGTCGTCACCACTTGAGCTACCTAGTACTGATGCAGTAAGGTTATCAGTTTTCCCGCCAATGGGAAAATCGAAACCTAAAACACGTTCCAAACTTCGTATGTACTCAACTGCCATGCGTAGAGTTTCCACTTTACTTAACTTTTTTGCATTGCCACGTCCATTGCCCTGTGCTTCAAAAGCTTCTGCTACTTCTTCCGGAATTCGTTCACGTAAAGCTGCAAATCCGTTATTAACTTGCTTAACGCGATTCCGTTCCCGCGCATTACGTCGAGCTACAGCCTGTGGCAATGGTAATCCCTTTCGCCCGGGTGTTCCTGCAGGTTTTGCTGTGGGTACGGTATTATTCGTGGCTGCTTTGGTTTCTCCTGAATTTTCTGCGGTTTTCTTTACATTCTCTGGCGTTGTTGCTTCTTTGGTTAGTTTAAGTTTCTTCACCGCAGTTGGGGTTAACTTATTATCTACATTTGACTTAGTTTCACTTAACGGACGTTTGGTGGTACTGGCAGTGGTTTTATTGATATGGGTTGTGGCATTGTTAACAGTGCCAAACATGCCGAAATCTTTAATTTTTCTGACGATTGTATTGGCATTGTTGCTACTAATATTCAAGGTATTACCGTTATTTTCACTTAAAATATTTTGCACTGTGATTTTGGTAAAAGTTTTACTTGAGCCGCTACCGGTGGTCTTTATATTTGTGTTACCGGCAGTATTTGTAGAACCGCTGTTACTTTTGGTATTTGTTGTGTTCATTTTTAATCCTTGCGACAGGTTATAACTCAAAACACTCAGCGTGGCCATTGAATGTGGTCCGTTTTGCGAACGGTATGTGAGCTTCCGAACTCTTTCGCGTCTTCACGTCTTCACAAATTTACAATATTACGAATTTTCTTTTTACGTTTTCCCGCCACAACTTTTTAGCTCGCCAGCCTATTACAGACTAGTTTGAAATGTTACGTTACAATTTTTACAACGTTTGATAGTAATTTTTGTGAAAAGTCTGTCCTCGTTATAGGACAGCTGCTTTGGCTATGTGTCGCGTGCCCGATGTCTGGCTATGAAATGTCATGGGGCGTCGCTCGAAACAAACGTCCTACCATCGGAAATGACTTCGATAACTGTTGGTGTACACAATGGAAATAACGTACTCTACAATGAGCTAAGCGATCGTTATGTGCTTACGTAAAATTGAAAATGAAATAAAAATAATACATAACACAAATGAAGTTCATTGTATGTACAAAGGTGCGCTGCGCTCCCCGCACGGCAGTACGAAACACACCAAATGTTTTCTGAATATACTCACACAAGCATGCATAATTCGGTACGATGTATATGTGTGGTAGCTATGTGACTTTTCATCCCCTAGGCTGTGTGCAGAGCATTTGATCCGCTATTGTTTGGCTCCTTCTTTTCCATTTACTTTTAGTTATTTTCTCTGTGCTTTAGCATTTGGTTGTGGTGATCCCTGTTTCCTCCCGATTTACCTTCTATGTTGGGTTAATGTATTCCTTTCGTTCTTTCCGTGCATTCGTTTTTTGGGAAAACTAACATCTGATCGCGTACTTCGATATGTGGAAGTACATATGACACCGCCATGTGCTAAGGGTGGTTTCGACTATTTTACTAGTATTTGTGCTTTGCTTGTTCTTATATAGGTGTTATGATATTGTGCCTTTTCAGTGCCATAAAGTTCTAACGACTTTTTGGCTAAAAGCGTTTTTTATTCTATAAAATATATTCTTACATACAATATGTTGTATTTATCAAAACTGCTCCTTACTTCGCCCAACTTTCTGCTTCTGTCTTTATATGATACGTTGAAGGGGAAAATATGTTTTATGGGAAAGAGTGCATTGAGATTAAATAAAGTTTGTAGTCAATAATAATAGTTTTAAGTATGTTTTTTTATATATACATAATACATGTATATGTATATAAAATTAGGACCTGTCGATATTTCATTCTAACTGAAATTTCAAGTTCTAATAACTTTTTCTTTGCATTAAAATTATTATATTACATTTTTGAATTGTTTTACAAAGACGATATTAAAGCTACATATATCAGATAGTGAAACTAAAATCTAATGAGTTTTGTCAGTTGTTTATATACCCACTTCTAAGAGTTTTTATCATTCAATTATTGATTCATTCATGTATCAATGCATTTACAGAAAGAATTGTGCTTCAATGTAATTAACTCTTATTCTCAATATCAAATCCAATAAATATATGTAAGCTTAATTAACTTATCTATTTTTTGAGGATATCATATAATATTAAGACGCGATAATATTTATTCTTTATTTATCGGCTTGGATTCCTTAACAGTTTCATTTGATTACCTAAAACCAAGAAACTGAAAAAGACTGCAAGTAATTTACATTCTAACATAGAGATGGATAAGTGTGTATTCCTAAATTGATCCACCTTGTCATACCGGTTGAGATTTTTTATGGATTAGTTAGTTTTTGAAGTCTTCGTCAAAGTTATATATAACATATTATAATGTAACTCCGAGGAATTCCAATTAGTTTGCATCAAAACATAAGAGATGGATAAGCTTAAATTTTTAAATGGATTATTTAGTTTTTGAAGTCCTCAAAATTATATATAGCATTTTCTTGCAAATATTCTTGTACTAGATGTTATATTCATGTTGAACTACAGTAGCAATTAAGTGGTACGACTTGCAAATTTTGACCAACATTTAATTAACTAATTTGTTGAAATACGGAATATTATCTTACTTTTGTCTCAAATAGTCTGATAAAAATATCTAAAAAAAATATCTATTACGAGCAATAATAAAGCAGACAAAGGATGATGGGAATTTCTTGAGAGTAAAATGTTACCACGACGATTTGGTATGGCAAGTAATTTAGTAACACCGAGCTTTTGTAGCGAATAAATTAAATATATTATAAAAACCCAACATTAGATTCCTGTTTTTATTAGGGCGTTATTATAAAATGAACATAAGAACCAAAGAGTTTTGAAGGTTCATATTCTGTTTAAAAAATTTTTATTCTGTTCTAATTTTTCCGGAACTGCTTAGCAATCAGATACGATATGATCGTCGGTTTATGTTATCGTATGTTCATTCTCTCAACTGCTATGGTATTTTCTTATCATACACAAATCTAAAGCTGGTCTCTAGCTATGCCATTCATATTATATCAATATGTAGGTATAAAGAATTGTTAATAAACATCCAAATTTTTTGTTTCAAAGCAAACTTTAGAAAAGACTGATATAAGGAAGTTCCACTTTATCAAACCGTATGAAGATCTCACCTTACTATAATATGTGTTATAGCTTATTTGGAATTCATTAATTAATATAGTAACGCATTCTTATTAATTTCGATAATAAAATCTGGTAAAAATTTAAAATATCTTCAAAGTACATAACTGTATCACATCTGAACTTGTGTGGATTTTACCATTTGCAGACTAAAAGGCTATAGGCTAAAAATAATGACATTTGAGAATTATAAGTATAGCAATACATCTCATCTCCAGCTAGTGCTATGAAAAACTGAAGTTAAAAGCGCATATATTAGGAAAATATGATAAATATATGTACAAAAAACAAAAATTTCAGATACTCAATAGTTGCCAAAGAATTAACAATGCTAAATTCAGCAAAATTCTTGAGATCTTGCGAGCAATGAGTCTTGATAAAATTTAAAAGGGTGAGGTTTAATAGTGCAGCTAAAACTTATAAATGTCAGTAGATATCTTACTTTACACAATATGCATGGTATATGTGAGGCATATTACCTCACAGTTTATATATATACGTTTGATATCCATTATTGTAGCTTTAACACATTGTTTCCTCAAAAAACATAGGTTTTAGTGAATATAATACCAGAAGACAGAAATCAAATGATCTTCATAAAAGTTTTATTTATTATTGAAAATTCTATGAGAACTTATAAGTAATTCAAATTTTCTTATATAGCCTTTGTCAAAGCATATTGATAATTTTTTTTTGTTTTTAGGTGTGATTCTTTATTTTAAATTTTTTGAAAAAAGAAGTATTTCAAAGTAGAAGAATTTAGAATTTTTTCAAATTGGTAGTTTCAGTGACAATTTTTAGCGCCTGAAATTGATATTGTCAGGAATTTATATTCTCAACTACTTATCCATCGCCAACTCATTTATGGAATGCAGCAATATGGGTGGCTAGCTGAACATGTTTAAACGCGAAGATAAAGCAATCAATAATTTTCGAAGCTATTCTTTGTAAATGGAACCAAACCATAAAAAATGATAAATCCATAAATTGAATTGATTAAATTTCGAACGCCGGTTAATTTTAAATAATTATATTAATACAAAATTATATATTAACGTAATTACTATATAATATTCTTATTCGTTAGAGACTGAATTAGTATTTATATCTATTGTTAACAAACATTTTTTGATATCAGTTTCATATTTTTTTCAATAGTATCCATATTATGGAAGTATTTATTATATATGCAAAGTATGATCACTTAGCGTGACTTAAAAAAAATATACATTTACGATTTCATTTGACTCGCAATAATATTTCATTTATTTTTGAAACATAGTTCTCGTTCTAATAAATTAAATGAAATAAAAATAAAATTAATTTTTTCCATTGGGTCTTAGTACTTCGCTTATTTTCCCACATATATAGGTATGCGCAGAAAAGACTGTCGAAACCTTCGCGCCATTCTGTCTTTCAGAAACATTTAAAATTTTAAAAACGAACACATGACGCACTCTAAGGACTTATCCCATCTATGCGATACGATATTTTTCATCTAACAATAGACGATGTGCGCCAGGGCGAAAAGGTAGTGTTTTCCAATATTAACGAAGCGTGTAACTTGTTAAAGTATTGAGCAATTTATTTATTGTCTTGTGTTTTACTGTTGTGTAATTTAGCTTTCACGGGTCCATGGCCATATGAGAGTCGTAGTACGAAATTCCGCAAATTCCGCAAACAAAGGAAACGTTTTGCAATAATTCATAATTATAGCGAATATTTACTTTCTTCTGCAATGATTTAAACTAATTGCGAATTGTATCGTTTTTCTTCCAATTACCATTTCTTGTATTTCCTTTCTCAGAAATCTGTCAAGGAATATCTTGAGGATAGTCGCAGTTTACACAAAGAGGGTTTGTGAAGATTTATGTTCGTCTTTGTGGTGCAATGAAGATGGTTATAAATCCTAATTAAAATTGACAGTGCTTTGATTTGCGCATGCAATTAGGGTGGGTATGTAGCACTAATTTTTTAAATTAACAAGAAAATTGGAAAATTTTTTAAAGAAAATTCATCCTTAAAAGGAACAGATATTTTATTTCTCATACCACAACACATTAAAGCTAAATGTTTTTTTTTTAAAAGCTTATTAGCATATCCGGCTACTAACTTAATGCATTGTTTACGACCTTCCTGTCAATTATTTACATGTGAAAAAATAAAAATAAGTTTTCACTACAATAATTTTGAAATATTTTACCAGCATTTGTTGAATTTCAGGTATGGCACCACTTTGCGGTGCATACATTACAAAGGACTAATTTGAATAAGTAACGTATTTTTCGTCAAAACCTCCTTGCGTGATCAACTTGAAAACAACTTGCTTTACATAAATCATATGGTACACAACTTCAAAACTTTATTCTCTGTACGTAAGTATATAGATACAAGCGTTTGTTCGATGCTTGAGTAAGTATGGCTGTGTGCATGCAATTATAAACTTACGATCACCTTAAGTTATACGACTGGTACCGGTTTTCGTATACGAGTAAATAGGAACCATATGTTGAGTATGTACAAGTTGTGGAACCCCTTTGCCGACAGTCATGTAGACTTTTCTCAGAGTGCTTTTTGACGCATTGACTTGGTAACGTCCTCTTTAGTTGTGAAGTGCCATTCCATTCCATAGGGTGTATTTTGCGTAGACTACTACTGCTGCATGTTGTTTAGGGGTTCCTTTTCAATTAAAAGAAATGCGAAGAATTCTTGTGCTTTACAGGCTCTTGACA